CGCCGAGCCCATTCCGAACCAGATTCACACCGAATACCGTAGGACGTAGCCAGTTCGCAACAATACCGAATCTCTCCGAGCCACGTATCCGTACCACGCTAAATGCCATCCTGTCAGTCCAAGGCAGCACCATCCCACGCCGTTCATGCGACTACGGGCTAACTCAGTGAGGTTAGTAATCATAATCAGATAAACCGGAAAGTTCAGGCGGCGCACTGCTTGTGGCCGCCTGACACCGGGTCGGTACATACTAGACAACGTAATGACTCTAAATGAGGCAGCACAAAAGATCACGGAAAAACGAATGAAGGCGGCAATACTATTCTTCGATTTTGAGAAGGCCTACGACCAGGTAAACTGGGATTTCCTACATTCATGTATGGAGAAGATGAGAGTTGGCCCGAATTTCAGAAATTGGGTGAGAGTACTGTACGCAGACGCAACAGGCAGGGTCCAGGTCAACAGAATCCTTTCTGATACCTACCCAATCTCACGATCAGTCAGACAAGGCGACCCACTGGCTCCTCCCATATTCCTCTTCATCATAGAAGCCATAGCCTCTTTCCTTCGCAAAGATCCGTCCATCGACCACCTCACAGAACGGAATTTCAACCCCCTACACGATTTCGCATTACCCACAACACTCATGTTCGCGGACGACCTCATGGTCCTCATCCGAGCCAACAGCAGTTCCTTTCAAACTCTCGTAAGAGCTATGGAAGCCTTCCAATTAGCCTTAGAGATGAGGGTAAACTGGAACAAAACAGAAGGATGGTGGCTCGCTGACGGCATCCCTCCCCAACCACCAAACACCGACACACCCATGAGATGGACCTCGGGTGAGCAAGCAATAAGGTTCCTGGGCATCATGATCAATAAGGAAGGTGTCTGGCCAGGAATGGGGCAGAACCTAATCGCCAGGGCAATCACCCGCCTGGCACAATGCAAAAACGCTCAGGCTTCCCTAATCGGACGGGCGCTACTGATTAACACAGCCATTTTTTCCACACTATGGTACATGGCATCCATCTGGTCCTTCCCTGATGACATCCTCAAGGAGCTGAAAAACAGGGTGAGATGTTACCTATGGACAGGCGATCCCAACAGGATTACGTGTATCAACAGGGTCGCATGGAACCATATCACAAGGAAACCACAGGAAGGAGGCCTCGGGATTATCGATCCCAAACAGGAGTCAATAGCACTGCAAATGAAATGGATAATCAAGGTTCTGATCAGACAATTCCTCCCATGGACCCAGATGGCGCTAGACAGCATCAGAAACCTAGCCCCCGTCAATTCCCCCCCGAACATGAACGGTCAGTTCTGGCTCATGGCAAAAGACTGGACAATCAAATCCGGCAGAACGCGAAGGAGAAMCCCCTCACAACTCAGCACAAACCACACCCAAACAGTCAATGCATATTGGCACCCTACCATAAAAGCATGGYGCAAGATGATGCCTAGCAAACACGRGGCACCAGGAAACAGAGAMGAAGTCCTGAGACAACCTCTTTTCTGCAACCCCTGGATCACGGACCCCAACGGGCCAGTTTGGACTCTACGCTCCAAGGACCTTAGATGGCTTTCCTGGGTAGAAAAAGGCGTATGGCAGGTCAAACATATCTGGTTTGAAGACCAAGGACGGTGGGCTACTGAGCAAGAACTACGCAATGTAATAAAAGGTTGCCACTCCCTCGCTGATAACTTAACGCTGATCCAAAAAAGTATCCCCGCACACTGGCTMCCCCTTCTYGAAGAGRAATTCTCGTGGAAACCCGGAGACTGGGGAGTACTGAAATCCCAAACCCAGCCGACCAGAGCATACAGATTTGTAAACAGGACTGGCCCAACGGGACATCTATCGAATTTATACTCCTACCCTGTCGCCAAACACAACACACACGAGTTAGAAATCCAAAACAAAGACCCCCAATACGATACACTTGAAACCTTCAGGCTGAGGAAATACGATGTCAAGTTCGGCTATGAGCTGGGCTTGCAAACCACTGACCCAGATCGCAGACTCAAAATAAAGTGGAGGGAGATTCTGGACCTGGACCCCTCTGTCCCCGTAGCAATCCCGTGGTCGAAGTTCTTGTCCATCAGACCGGCCAGAATCCGAAGCATGCAATGGCTCTTAGCACACGCTTCACTGCCCACTAACCAATGGCTCCACAAAAGAAGAAAACACACAGACCCCGACAGCACTGAACTATGCAGTCTATGCACGAACAACGCCTCGGAAGATATACCTCATTGCCTCCTACTCTGCAAGGAGGCAGCTTGGATATGGAACAAAGTACGGGACCTATGGACCTTCCTCTTCTCATCACCCCCCCCGCCCACAACATCTCTGAACATCCTGCCCTTATCCAGCAACACTAACAATCTCAAAGGCGGCAAGGAAGTATGGTTCCATCTACTCAGAAAACTGGCGTTATGGGTAATCTGGAAGAGGAGATGCACCAAGACGATCGAGGGAACTGAGGTGTCAAGAGAAGAAATGTGGGCACTACTGCTAAGAATGGCCGAAACWGAGATTCGAGCCAGATGGAGAGAAGTGACAGCGCTGAYGAAAGGCAAACCAGAAAGGGCATCCATARAGAGACGAGTTTTCATAAGAGACTGGCTGCTACAGGGAAAGATCGCCACCCCGGTGGAAAACAGATTGGTGTGGAAAAAGTGGCACAACATAATTCCAGGAACATAGAGGAAAACAAACTGAGATCATAATCTCAACGATTACAGACATGCCTCCTCTTTTCTTGTTTTATACGCATGATCTGACAGAGACACAGTAAACTCTGAGAGGAAAAGTTTGAGGGCAAGCTGACAGTCAATCCTCCTGAGAAGGAGCAATCAATGCTGGTCAGGGTTCCTTCGGCCAAACGGAAGGAAGCGTGAGGGTGTTCACCATGTATTTCATCATTCTACTTGCCGGAGGAAAGGAACCGGACTGACGCTCCCCAGAATGGATACGGAGCCAGGACCTTAAGGACCTGTTTAATTTAAAAAAAAAAAAAAAAAAAAAAAAAAAAGAACGAACTAAAACATAACTGATTGACAGGCCTCCCCCCTCTTTCACACAACTTCAAAATTTGTGAAAAATCCCAGAGGTAGAAAAAGATACCAAGCACAACCTTTACAAGAAAGACACAAAACAAAACAGGGAAGAAAATGCTACTACAAGCTGGCAGCCCCCTCCTTCAAAATCGTTCTGTTCCACACCTGTAAGTAAAGGAAGCGCTCTGAAAGAATCTGAACCCCGCCCCTGTCCAGATGCATTCAATTGTTTTTTGGGCGGATGGCAAGTAGTGCAACTAGGCCCTAACACTAGAACAGATTACATTTATTTATTGCTAAAAAACGTGGCCGAAACTACAGCACCCGTTTTCGACGATGATGGGCTCCCACTGCGACGTGCGTTAGCCGTCTCCACCTCAGCCTGCCCCCCCCTCTCCCACTGGGTTTCCCCGGGGCTAGGTCCCACTTGCACAAATTAAGAGATCAACGGCCAAAATCTCCTGATTTGAGCAAGTGGGAGCTTGCCCCCGGGCTCTCCCTAAGCTTGGCCCCTAACCACTGTTACCACTATGGCCCTCGCCACACCACTGTCGAAACGAAGAAAGTAGGACTGCATGTTCTCGCAGGGAGTGGCCAGATGCATCCATTATTATCAAATTATCAATAGTAACGGATGCATCTGACCACTTTCTGGGGAAGATGCACACGTACTATTTCCGTTTTGACAGCGGTGATGGCGGCGAGGCCCTCCGTTTGCCTGGGGCTACCTACTGGGCTTACAGTCAGTGACTCTCCGGACGCAAAAGAAAGCACGAATTAAAATACAAACAAGTTCAAAAAA